GCGGCCACACTCTGGTGCCGCCTGTGTCACAGGGCTGGGTCACATTCCGGGGCCATCAGAGGGGATGTTCGGTAGGACAGCTAGTTGGGGGTGGGGATGGAGTAGTTTTTTTTTTAATTCCTCCAGGAAGAGGAGTGCAGCTCTGCAGCGAGCCCAGCCTGCGAGAAGGACGATCCAGACCTTTCAGGAGTGGGGTGAAGCTGCTTCTTACAAATTTGTCCATGACCCTGTGTCCATCCTCATCCTTGTGGAAATGCCAGGGTGCACAGCAACCTGGCACAGCTGGGCAGGGGACTGCGTGTCCCGTCCTCCTCATCTCATACATGGAGAGAAAAACCATATTGATCTGGGGTAAGCGTGAGCAGGAGGCAAGAGTGCCTTGCAAACAGGGCCGAGGGTATCCGGCTGAGTGCTCCTGGGGACGTGCTGCCACTGCACTGGTGTCCTGGGCAGCAACGCCCAAAACTTGCCTCCCGCTGGCTGGCTGCTCCCCAAAAGCCAGGGAGCTGCTGCCAGAGCTGACTGCTGCCTGCCGGTCCTGCCAGGACAGCTTCCCACGGGACCATCCCTCCTGAGTAATGGCCTTCTCTGGGAGGGAGCCACTCGTGTTGGGATTTGCCCAGAACCTATCAAGGACCTCTGCGAGGTTTTGGGGGACACTGGTGGTATCGGACTATCCCTATCAAATGCTGTTCTTCTCTGTGTCGGAATCTGTGGGTATTGATGATTCCGAGATTGTAGAAAGTCTCTGTCTTTCTGCCCCGTTGCCAAAGAAGAAGCCATAGTTTGTCTGTGCTGGTTTCAAGGTTGTTTATTCTGTTTATCTCTAACATGTTCTGCTGCCCTGCCGCAGGTCTGTCCTGCAGGGCAGTGTGTGGGGCTCTGCCCCTCAGTGGGATGTTACACACATTATATACCAGAAACTACGTGTGCTATATTTACAATAATGTGCCAATATCTATCATTTATGTTAAACAGTGTGTCCCCAGCCTAAACCAATAGAAAAATGCCAACACTACAGTGAAACATGGAGGGCATGAAGAAGGAGGAAAAGGACAAGACACACCCAATTTCCTCCATCTTGTCCCCTCTGAACCCCTAATCTAGAATCCTAAAATTTTACTTTTGCACCTGTGCCACACTTAATTATTACTCATATCAAATACTCAGAGCTTGTAATTCATCCTGTAAGATTGAAAACTCTTTTCCATGGACAGAGATCAGAGACAGTGTCTCTCAGGGCTCTGTACAGGGGGGTTCCTGACCCCTGCCAGGGTGTCAGGCCTTCCAGGGCAGCCAGAGGGAAGCCCAGGATTCCCACACTCTGTATGAGCACGGCCACCCTCCTTGATATCTGGAAGGGCTTGATGATGGGTAGGACTTCACAGGGTGAGGTTTTGGATGGACAGAGGGAGTGGGACCAAAATACACTCTCTGGAAGGATTTAAAGGCATTTTTAGGAGTTTATGTAGTTGATTTTTGTGCCACGTGTCTGTGCACTGTGAACATTGGAGGGGGAAACTCCTGCTCTCTGCTGTTGGGCTGGCAGGACAAGCAGCTGGGAAGGTCAGCCACAGGCTCTGACATCTCTGGAGATGTTCCTGCCTTCAGTTTCAGGATGATTATGTGATGAAGTTGTCAGATTCATTTTTCCCAATGGGTTAGGCAGGGATAAAAAATGCCCACGTCAATGTATGCTTTTATTATCCACCCACGTGACATTCTTTGTGCATTGGGGGTGGCCTCCAGAGCTGAATGCAGCAATTTACCCAGAAATCAGCACTGGGTTTTAAAGCAAGTATTTTTGGACCCATTTGGGTTTTTGAAAACATGAGTTTGCATAATCTTAAAATAAAGGTTTCTTGTGTTACTTTTCTTTTTTTTTCTTTTTTTTTTTTTTTTTTTGTCCTTTCTAAGAAGAAAAAATTCTATTTTTAATAAGTAGCTGGTGTGGCTGAAGTGGTGGGAGGCGGCAGTGCTGAGCCTGGCTGTGCCAGCTGAACTTGGGACAGCCACAACATACAAGCTGTACTTATTCAACCCTATTATTTTCCTGGACTTGGCGGGAGAAACACAGAGACCCCTGCACTTGCAGACCACCTCTCCATCCAGCAGTGGCTTTATTGACAGTGCAGACAAATTTCCTGAGCTTCCCATGGTGATCTGAGTTCCACAGCTGGCTGCAGGGCTTTTCCTTGGCCACTGTTTGTCTTTAGTGAAATGGGAATATCTGTGGAAGAAACAATGCTAAAGTCACAGAATGGTCTTGGTTGGAAGGAACCTTAAATGCCATCTCAAGCCAATCCCCCTTCCATGGGCAGGGACACTAGACCAGGTTTCTCAGAGCCCCATCCAACCTAGTCTTGAACACTTCCAGGGATGGGGCACCTCCTACTTCTCTGAGCAACCTGTTCCAGTGCCTCACCACTCTCACAGCAGAGAATTTCTTCCTAGTATTGAATCTAAACCTTCTCTCTCTCAGTTTGAAGTCATCCCCCCCTTGTCTTGTCACTACATGCCCTTGTAAGAAACTTATCTTCCTCTTTCTTGTAGGCTCCCTACAAGGTCTGATGGGATTGTCTCTTCTGTGCTCCCTGTGATGGAATTCTGCTGTGGGAACCAGTCCTTTCCAAGCACACACTGGGCTCAGGAGAGTTTGATTACATTTCTCTGCCCTTTTCAACGGGGAGGAAAAAACCTCTGACGAAATCTTTGAGGCCATCAATCTGAACAAAAGAAATATCCCAGACGTGGGAAAACAGCCTTTGACCTCAGTGAAACCCCAAAATGTTACAAACCTTTTGAATGCTTGAAGGAAATTTTTCTTCCAGCTCCCTTTACTGCCATGCACTTTGATGGCAAGTAACTTTCCCATCTTTGGCTCAGCCATGTCTTGGGAGTTTCCTGGTCCTCCCAGCACTGCCTCAAGGAGATGGGCACCACAGGATGGTACAAGTAAAGTGTGTACTGCATCCCCCCAACTCATGGTGGAAACCTTAAAGCTTCAGAGTGAGCAAGTGCTTTGCAGTTCAATTTTTTCCTGTTTCCTGAAATGCAAATCTGCAAAGAGCTGTTGTATTTTAGCAGAAGGCATCAGGGGCAGAAACTGCACCTGGGGGGCCGAGGCAACACCTGCCCTTTCTGTCCTAGACCTGATCTTGTTTCACCTGCAGAGCAAAAAGTTTAATGACAGTGTGAAAACTTTGCAAAGCCACCTTTTAAAAAACGGAAATGAGTTCCTGAGTGTTAAGGTACTTTTTGCAGAAGACACTTACTTCTCTATGTATTTAGCCCAGTTTGGATGGAGCTTTGAGCAACCTGGTCTATGGGAGGTGTCCCTGCCCATGGCAGGGGATTGGGACTAGATGAGATTTAAGGTCCCTTCCAATTCAAAACCTTCTGTGATTCTATGATATGTGGATACATACATCACTCTTCTGCAACTGATGTGTGTGCACAATAACAAATAACCAGTGCAAGAGCAGCAGTTCCTGCTGACACACGCAGCACACTCTCCCTCTGCTGCAAGTGGGGCCTTTTTAATGCCAGACTCAGGGGTTTTACCAAGCTAGAGCAATATGTGCCGTGGCAGGTAGGTAGGCAGCCATCCCCAGTGCAGCACAGAAGTGTGCTTCCACACCATCCAGATGCCTGAGGGTCCAAGGACACAGATTTAATTTTGTTGGAGAGCTCAGTTCCTGAGCTGGGTGTGCAGGCAGTTGGTTGTTACTTCTGCAATGAACACAAGCTATCTTCCTGCTTGCCTCCTGAAAATAAGGCCTTTGGGGGGTTTATTTGCCTTTTTCTCCTGAGGATGTGTTTGAGAGCTCTCACATGTGGATGGAGGCAGAGACATCTGGGGGGACCAGACCTGGTAACTTGCTCTAGCTGATGAGGAGTTTCTTGTTCCTGAAAAAAAGAAAAACAAACAAAAAACCAAACAGAGGAGATCTAATATACAGATATTGCTCAAACACGTGAGGGCCTGGGTGATTTGCTGGGTTTGGTTCCCAGAGTTCAGGGTGTTTCAAAATGCTCACATTACAGAGCTACTCCTGGCCTGCATTTTGCCAGGAAATAGAATTAATTTCCTTTTTCTGGTTTCTGTTCAGACAATAAGGAAAATCATGCAAAACATTCAGCTGCAGAGGGCAAATATATAAAGGTTATGTACTGATAATGGAGACTGATACAAGGTGCATTTTAGATATTCTCTCCTCACACTTTTATTCTAAAATTGGACATTGGCAAAAGAATAATGAGCTGTGTGTGCAGCTGATACTGGTTTGCATTTGTGTTTGCGCTCTGAGAGGTAAGGGGAAAGAGAAACCATTCCTTATTCTTGTGCTGTTGCCCCCTCTTCTTGCTCATCACTTCTCTCCCCAGCTGGTGACAGTGGCACACCCACTCCTGTCCCTGATAGTTTGTAGGGAGAGCTGGAAGCCAGGTCAGTCTCTGCCTCAGGTGACCCCTATATGGGTTTTGGGGTGCCCTGGCCGCTGAGCTGCATGGCAGGGCTGCTCCTTTCCCTGGCTGCAGCAGCACCTTTGTCTCTTCCCGTCATGCTCAAAGTGTCCTTCTGGTTTTGTTTTCTTTACTTATTTTTGGCCCTGAGGTTTCCTTTCAGAATAGCTGCAGGGCATGGAAATAGGATGGTGTGGCCTCAGCCCTGCAGTGTGCCCGGGTAGGGCAGGAGCACTCTGCTCTGCTCATTTACCACTCTGCAAAAATAATAACTAAATTTGGACTCAGGAGCCATGTCAGCCTGAGCCAGACAGGGACACTCTGACCCTGAGGTCCTCAGGGGCTCGTTCAAGTACACCCAAACTGTACAGGGTGCCCTTGCTGGATGCAAGCTGCAGCACAAAGCTCAGGCCAGTGGCTGGTGCAAACCCCACCTTCCACTAGACCACATTGGTTTAAACTCCAGCCTTTGGAGGCAGATAAGCTGTTCTGTGTTTTGTTTCCAGCAAGGTGTTATAATTTCATACAGCTTTCAAAGCTTGCAATTGCTTTTAATAACAGATTCCTTTCAGACAAAAGGGTGATTCCTCCAAGCCCTGCCACCTTGGAGAGACGGAGTTATTTCAAAAGCATTAAGGGACCAATGCTCCATGCCTGCCATGTGATTATTTTTAAAGTAATTTTAAAAAGTAAATTTCAAATGGAAATGTTTTGGATGTGCTGGCTGAGTTCCCTGCTGGTCTCCCACCATGGTGCCAGTAAGGTTGCTGCTGCTGGCAGCCTGCCTGGGCAGCACCCACTCCAGGAGCTAAACATAGGTGCTGGTTGCACAAAGCACTTTGGCACATGTTAATTATCCTGGTGCTTTTTAGGAGTCTTGGGTGAAATATGTGTTTTTATAGCCAGTTTTCCACATTTTTTTTAAGCAGCCTGGAGCAGAAGCCCTTTAATTACATTAAAAATTGCCTCCCACCAGGACTGTCTGTTCCCAAGCCCTGATGAAATTTTAAGCTCAAAGCCAGGCACATGCTCACTGCTTTCCTAGGCCAGGCAGCTTAGGACAGCAGGGGACAATGGGAAGCAGGGCTATCTCTGCCCTGAATGCCCTGCAGGGCAGCCTCTCCAGCTGCTCCAGCCCCATGGGAGTTGGGTAGGACATGGGAATCCTCACAAATGCTGATCTCTCTCTTTATCAGAGGCTGCTGTGTTGGCACAGAACTGCATGGCCGAGGTTGGTTTTTTTTTGGTGGTTTTTTTTTTCTTTTCTTTTTTTTCTTTTTTTTTTTTTTTTGTGTTTTGTTTTTTTTTTCTTTTTTGGGGGGTGTTTTTTTTTGTGTGGGTTTTCCTGGCACAAGGTGTCAGCTGAAAGCCATGGCCAGCTCCAGGCCTCCCTTATAATTAAGATTCTTTGCAGTGACAAAAGGGGCTTTGAAGCCCGTGGGGTAGTTGTACTCTGTAGCCCCAGGTGTTGCATGGTAGGCATGTGGCATGGTCTGCTGCCAGGGGTGCTGGACCCTCGAGGGGCTATGGGGGACCTCTCTGTCCCCAGAAACAAGTTATGTGCATAGTGTTCCCTCAGCAACAAACAAATCCCCAGCATGTACCTGTGTAGCCCTGTACCTGCTGGGCTCCCCTGCATGTAGTTGAGGCTGGTTTTGCCCCTAGTTTTGAGAAGAACCATTCAGGTATTTTGTGACAAAGTGGATTTTTCTGTCTTAAATAACCACAGTTTTACCACTGGCTAAGCTGACCATTTCAGATTTATTTTTCAGCCCCTCTCTTCCTTCTCTTCCTTCTCAGGCTGGAGCTCTGAAAGCATCAAGTGGGATTTGCAGCTCTCCTTGCCACTACAGGAAGCAAAGCTGCATTCAGTGAGGAGTCATTCCCTGAGCTGCTACAGCCTAGATGTGCAGGAGCTTAGGGACCTTTGCTGAGGAGTGCAAGAAAAATCTGGGAAAGAAGGAGCAGAGATGCACTGGAGAGCTGGGTGGATGAAATCCAAGCAGGAAATGATAAATATAGGTAAAGGAGAAAAGACATCCCTGCAGAGGTGGGTGCAGGGGGCAGCATCCGCTTGCTGTATCCTGTCACCAAGGTCCCCAGTGTGATTTGAGTGCACACATGGATGGTTTTTTTTTCATTTCCCCCCGACTCCCAGGCAGTTATTTTGCTTTCTGGGAACATACACAGATTTCAGCTGAGCAATGCCTGATTTTTGAGAGCAGGAGACTGGGCTGGCCCCTGTGTGGGTCTGTGTAGTTTGCAGAGCATTAGAAACAAAGCAGACATGCATTTTGTAGCAACACTATGGAGGAAATGGCTCTCAAATGGGCACTGGTGACACCTGTACCTAGTACCCTTTTCTTTCCCTTCCCTTACCAAGGCCTTTGCAGGCATTCTGGAGAGGAATTTTTTTTATTTATTTATTTAGTTTTTTGGGGTTTTTTTTGGTCTAATGGTTCTGCACAAGTGGCGGTGGGGCTGGGCCTTCGAGGTCGGTCTTTTTGTCCACTTGAAAACACAGTGACAGAATTTCCCAAAAAGGGAGGTAGACACTCCTCAGGAACAGATTTCCCAATATTTATTTTAATTAAAACCCAAAGTGTTATTATATCTTGGCCTCCCAGCCGCACATCTGAGGCTAGACCCTCAATTAAGCGGCGCAGTGCAAACCTCGCTGGGTTTGGCAGAGGCATGGGGCGCTATGTTTGTGCACCAAATCTGCCAGCGTTGAAGTTTTGGAGGGTTTTTGGTGCATGCTGGAGAGCTGGCGTCACTCCGGACAGGGCGGTGACTGGCCTGGGGGGAGCAAAGCCAGACCTTATATCCCAGCAGGGCAGCAGGGGGAAGAAATCTGTGCTGGCTGACTCCGTGGATAGCTCTCAGTGCTGGGGCAGGGTAAGTTTGCTGCTGCTTTTCCCAGCTCGGTTATGCATTGATATCTGCTTTTTGCAGGGAGATGGGAGGGTCAGCTTGCTGGCAGGATTGGGGTGCTGCGTTTAGTCCTTGCCTGGATCTGTGGCTTCATGAAGCACTTGGATGGAGGGGATGAGCATCCAGAGCCTTGCTGTGAGGTCAAAGAAACTTGTAGCCACTTGTTTTATAGCCTGAATTAAGCAAAAATAAGCAAACTTCAAGCACAGATAAGTGTAATAACAATTCCCTACAAGCACAGCTGGTACTGGGTTTAGGCAGAGGAGAAAAGAAGGTTAGTGGGCCTGATGAGCTCAGGGAGATGCTGGGAGCATTGTTCCCTGGGGGAAGGCTGGGGTGCTGCTGGAAGGATTGGGTGTGCTCCTTTCTCCTTGATGCAGGACGGCAGGCTGTGTTGTGGTGCTTTGGGTGTGCAGCTCAGACCTGCCCAGAGCTAAGTCCCCTCCAGCTAAGCTTGTGTGGAACTCTTTGCATTGGTGCCTTGCCACTGCTATTTTTGCCAATGGCAGACTGTGAAGCCAAATATTTCCATTATTTGTTTGCTTGTTTGTTTTTCCTCAGTGAGGTTACACTGTCTGTGGTGTAATTCCCAGGAGCTCTGCTTCCTGGGCAAAGCCCAAGCAGATCTTGGAGCTATGGAAGGGTGGCCGCAGTGGGCAGTGCTCCCAGCACTCCAGCTGCTCCTGTTGCATCTCCAGTGGGGCTTGGCTTTCTCCCCTCCCTTAAGGGCAATGGGGAAACAGGAATAAGTCATCCTTCTCCAGGTAAGCTTTGAGTTCACTACATGGTGAAACTTGCTTTTCTGGCTTTTTGTGGCTTCTAGAAAAAACAAAACATATTCATGGAAGTTAAGGCAGATCTTTAAAAGAAAGAAGAGAAAGAAATATTTGGGTCTACAGAGGGGTTGGGTGACCTCAGCAGGAAAGGCTGGAGGTCAGCTTTTCTTCTCCCCACTCACACATGTGGACACAGACATGTGGACGGTTTGGAGTGGTGCCGGTGCTTTCTAGCTGAAAATCAAGTCCTCTATGTGTTTTGGTGTTCCTAGAGACAGCAGCTATGAGGAGTGTCCTGGTGTTTTTCTGCCTGGTGGGGATGGCGTGCACCTTCTCGGTGAGTGCCAGGCGAGGGGGGACCCCCGGCCTTGCCGGGGCTGGTGTAGGGCATGTACCAACCCACCCTTTCCCCCAGGTCAAGAACTGGCTGCTGCGACCCAGGTTGGACGACTCGGAAGAGAACGCGGTAGGGTCTCCCCAGCCCTGCATGCCTAGTCCTACATGGGGCTGATCTTGAGGAAGAGCACATTTTGGTGGCTCCTGCACCCAAGACCCCAGACTGATGGGATTTCCCCCTCCTTTTCCTGGTAGGTTTTCAAGAGGCAGCACCGGCACTACCTGTACAAATACATCTACGTGTATTCCCCGCAGCGACGGTACCAGGTGGGTGCTTCCGAGGGGTTGCTGCTGCTTTGGCACCTTCCAAATGCAGAGATTTTGGCCCAAATGAGATAGAGGTATGGTCTGTGCCCTGTTGGCATGGCCTGTGGGCATGGGCACAGAACATTGTATTCGTGACACCGCTGGGAGCCCACCCACCCGCCTCCAACTTGGTTTTTCCTCTCCTTAGGGCAGTGACTCATCTGAGGAAGAGGGGGATGGCTCGGAGGAGGAGGGAGAGGGGGTGAGTATGGCAAACCAGCAGCCTGCAAAACAAATACGGGAATTTGGGAACTGTCTTTGGTTTTCTAGTCTCTGCTCATCAGCATTTGTGGTCACTGACTTCCCACAGGCTTGCACTCTGGATACAACTGGATTTTCTACTCTGGACCTTGTTTTTGTTTTTGTTTTTTTTTTTTTGTCAATATTTTCCTTTTGCTTTCTGTTTTCTTCCTGGGCAGGGGTTGCACCATACAACCCTGAAACAAATTCTCTGTGTTTCCATTTCCAGCAGCTCAGAAAGGAGCAGGACAGGCCAAAGGACAGAACCAGGGAGGTTCACACAAGGAAAAAAGTGCTGTTAAGAACTCCTGCTACCTTTCTCTTTCAGAGTCTGTTACCCCTATGGCACTGAGAATATCCCTATGGAAAATCCAGTTATGCTCTGCATGTGTCTGTGGAGTGACACAAGCTGATGCTATATTGGGAAAGTCAAATTTGTACCAGTCAGGTGGTAAAGTTGCTCCTGTCTGCTGGATCACTGGGAGCTTGGGCACCTCTGTAGCTGTGAGAGCAACTCAGGTCCAAAATGAAATGTAAAGGGTAACAAGGATCTTTTGTGCCTTACTGGGCTGCAAATGCTCAAAAATAGTCCATTTGGTCTCAGGCACACAGGTGCTTTGAAATAAGGATCCGGTATGCTTAGAATCCTGTGTGTCACGCCTAATCAAGTCTTTTATTTTTTTCTTTTTTAAAAGTTATTTAATGAAAGCCAGGGAACCCTGCTTTGGGAGCCTGTCAGGGCTTGGGATATAGCATGGGGTTGGCCCCTGTGCCAGCCCTGGCACCTCCCTGCAGTTTGCCCCCTTTTTACCTGTTTCTCTCCCCTACCACTGCAATCTCTAGGGATAAATTTGAGCAGTGGGATGGGCAGCAAAAGGTGGAATTTCATTTTTCAGGAAGAAATTAACTGGTATACAGTAATGTAGCTGCTCTTTAGGTCTGCCCTTTTCATTTAGAGGGTTGTTCCCATGCAGGGATGTGCCTTCACTGGCAGGGTGGTCAGCAAGACAAATTGTGCTAAAAGACCCCAAGGTCAGTTATGGGTATGCAAAAAGCATTATAAAGTATATAGGTATGTAAAAAGCATTATATTGTCTGCTGTATAGGGAGCATTGCTTCCACTGGCACAGCTGGCTACACTGTGCAATTTGATGGCTCTCCTGTTGGAGAGGAGAGCAGCCTGGATTTTCTCTGCTAGTATGTCAAGGTCTGAGGTGCCCCAAAATGCCAGGGTAGCCATCCTTGGTCTTGGCATGTGAGCAGCAGGGGTTGCCCAGGGCGGCGATGACATTGACCTCAGGTCTCCGTGCCATGGCTGGGCTCATTTGGTGGTGCCAACAAGCTCCACCTCCCAGGCTGGGCCCTGGGTGAATTGCCCCACCAGTTCCTCAGTGTCTGCTCCAGGCTCTGCTTGCATTTGCATTATTCCTTACCCTTTCTTTAGCCGTGCACCCCACGGCTGATGCACCCCACTCTGCTGCTGATCTCTGGAGCCAAGTGTTGCCAATGGCTGATTGCTGGGGGGGTTTGGGCTCACGCCTGGCTTTGAGCCGTCACACTCTCACTGACTGTCCACACATGACATGCAGTGTGTCCACGTGTAGTGTGCCTGTGGCTTTCTTTGTTTACTGGAAACTGGGGGAGGTAACTTCAGAAGAAAACCTTTAGATGCTTTGCAAAGCAAAATGTGGAGCCAGAATGGAAACACCCGACTCCAGCCACTACCACATAATTGCACAGCTCCAGTTGCCCTGCTGCAGCTTCTACATTTCAGCCTGGAACAAGACCTGTGGGAAAGCAAGGAACTCAGAGCAATGCCCAAATGCTCTGTGTGGATGCTCTGTACCCCTATCGCTGCTGGGAGGCCTGCACTGCACCCCAGCTGCTGACCCCCTGCCCTGTCCTGTACTTGTCCTTGTAGGAGCCATTTTATGCTGGCACCAAGGCAGTTGGACACCCCGCTGGAGTATCCCCTGAGGACTGCCAAGGTGCACTGACAGGAGATGTCACATCCCCCCAGCAGGTGTGGTTTGGGGAGCTGGATGGAGACCCATGGGGAGGGGACTGTTCACTGCATGCTTGCTTGTACCCATGGGATGGCCTGCACCCTGTTTCTGCTTGAGGGGTTGCTGTGGAAATACCGATAGCTGGACCAAGCTCTGGGCATTAACCTGGGGCTGGAAGGAGTACCCCAGAAAGACAGTCCTGCCATGCAACGTGTGGGGGGATGCTCAGTTGTGCCCATACCTTCCCCTTTCCACATGGAGCTGCAGCCTCCTGACATCTGAGTAATGCTGTGCTGTCTTCCCTCTGCCAGGGCAAGGGCTGCCAAAGGATCGGGCAGAGGACTGCCAACAAGGAGGAAGACTCTGAAAATGAAGACAGTGATGAGAATGAGGAGGAAGAGGAGGACGAAGAAGTAGATGAGAATGAGAATGGTGTCAATGGCACAAGCACCAATACCACAGAGGGTATTGGGCCTCATGGCAATGGCACTGTGGTGGCTGAGGAGGCCACTGGTGAAGCTGAGGAAGAGGAGGAAGGGGAAGAGGAGGAAGAAGAAGAAGAAGAGGAAGAGGAGGAGGAAGAGGAAGCTGAAGCCACCACCATTGCAAGCACCACCAACGAAGAGGGTCTGACACAGGCGACCACTATGGATGATGGGGGACCCACAGATGCCACCACAGATGCCACCACAGCTGGGGAGCTGTGGGAGTATGATGTGACAGCCAGGGACCACAGCCGGGGCGAGGAGGGCACCACTGAGGGTGGGTACGAGGAACAGGATGAGTATGCACGTGGGGACAGCTACCGGGCCTATGAGGATGAGTATGGCTACTACAAGGGGCATGGGTACGATGTGTATGGCCAGGATTACTACTACAACCAGTGAGCAGGGGGGACAGCCTGCCAGCCCCAACCACTCAGGAAGGTGCATTTGAAGGCTCCCTGGAGCCACCACATGCCAGAGGGGATGCCAGGCATCTTGCTGTGCACACTGGCTCCATCCCAGGCTTTTTTTTTTTTTTTGTATCTTGCAAAGTGAAATGAAATGAAATGAAATGAAATGAAATGAAATGAAATGAAATGAAATGAAATAATGAAATAAAGCAACTGAACTGAGCTTGTTGGTGACAAAAGGTTTGCTGCCAAATTTTCCGGGGTCAGTGGAGCAGCACAGCGCTTGCTGAGGGGCTGAGGGGCTATTGTTGCCCATGATGCTTAGGGCTGAATCTTGTTATTCCAGCTCAGATGCACACGAAAGGAGGGAGGAACAGCAAGGCTAACGTGGAAAGCTTCTGTAGAGTGCCCTCTGAAAAATGAAAGGGTGCTCTTAGGGACACTGCTGTGGGGTTACAGCCACATTTTATGTAAAGTTGATGTGAATTTCCAATATGTGAACAGTGATAACTTTATCATGTCTTCTATTCCTTGGTAATGTGCCTCCCATGGCCTGACCACACACCAGGTAATGTTAATAAGGGTAAAACCATTAATTTCTCCTTCTGTGCATCACTAGCTGTAGGTGCACACCCTTGTAATGAGGGCTTTGCTTTGTCCCTCTACCAGGCATGTAGGTACAAGGCTGGGCAACTTGGATGTGTGTCTTGAACATCAGTACTGCAGCCCAAAATGTCCCTGTCACACAGCCTCATTCCCAGAGCAAGGTAGGGCTGTCACAGTGACAGTGGTGTATCCACTCCCCTCCTCCATCAGCAATGGGGATGCCTAGCTGGGCGTCCTCAGGATCCCTGCTCGGGGTCACTTCTCAACAGGAGTGTGTCCCTGGCCAACTGGTGATCTGCATTATGGATAGGGATAGAACAAATCCCACTGGGTTCCAGGCAGATGCCACCATCTGGGAATAGTGATGGCCCTCATGCACAATTTATAGCAGGTACCATGCTGCTCTTGCACTCCTCGGAAGGGAGCCTGAGTTCAGCTTCTGATGTAGGTCCAACAGCAGAACTAGTCTATTTCTGCAGCAGCAAGTTGCTGGCCATTGTACAAAACTACTTACGTATGCCAAAGCCAGGCTGCAGCTGCTGGGGAGGCAGGAGGTGCTGCCTGCAACGTTGGCACCCCTGGGGACAAATCCCTATGGCGGCACTGAGGAGCCCTGCACGCACTCATGGCTGGTGTGATGGAACACAAGAGTTCCATCAACCACATCCCCAGGGGGTGCCCGGATACGTCAGGGAACTGGCATGGACAAAGGGCCCTGGCACTGCCAGGGGCTGGGTCCTGTTCCTACAGGGCGCGTAGCCCAGTCCCATGTGCGTCAACCCCCCAGGCACCTGTCAAAGGCTCTCCTCCAGGAACCAAGGCACATGGCTGGCTGCCCTGTGGGGTGGCATCCGACTGCCACTCCCTGGCTGGTGGCAAGGGTCAGTTTCCTGCTGGCTCCAGGATTTGCTCCTGCTTGAGGCTGGATGCTGACGGTTTAAGCATTTCTGGTGATAATGCAGGAGTCGTGCCAGCTACCAGGGTTTGGGTTAGGGCAGATTGGAGAGTGGGATGGGAGCTGCTGTCACCACCACCACAGTGACTGCCTGAGCCAGGCTGGCTTCAGCAGTGGGAACCCTTCGTGGCAAGGGTGTAGGTGACCAGCAATGCCACCACAAGTAGAGGTAGGGAGAAGGAGGGCTTGTACATCGTGCACACCCTTGTAGCACTTCTTTGTAATGAAGTTGGGCCCAAAGGGACCTGTGCAAGCAGTGCATGGGAAAATATACATTTGTTTTCGTTTTTGCCACTCTTCTATTTTGCGCTTGCATAGGTTTAGCTCAGAGGAGTTGAGGCTGAAGCCCAAAAAGCAAGTGTCAGAAGACACAGCACGGTGGTGGCTCTCAGCTTTGCCAACCCTGCCCTTCTGTGCCAAAGGGCCAGGACCAGGCCTGGTTCTGGATCTTGCCCTTCCATTTCTGCAGCCCTGCTGGCTTTCCCACGTTGGTCACAGTGAGCAAGCCAAGACCCACTGCAAACCCTCTTATCGATAACCAAGCTGGATGGGTGCCACACTAAGATCTGCACTAATCACTGAGCAATTTTGCCTTCAGAACAGATATTTATAAACTATGCTTTCTGTTTATCCAGCCAGGTGGAACATTTGATAGCTGTCTTTTACCACAAACACATTTTTAGCTGGAAATTACTCCCCCTGGTTATCTGTGAGTGCTGCCAGAGCTGACAAATGTCCCTGGGCAGGAGCTGATTGGCTCTGTGCACCCGGGGCCAACTTTAAATTTCAGCAAAGTGGGCACAGGCTCCACAGTCTGCCACTGGGACCTGCCTCCAACAGGAAAAGGTAATCTGCTTATCTAGCTTCCTGCCCAGTCTCTCCCTAGCCCTTCAGCTCTGCTGTCAAGGCTTCTCCTGCTTTCACTCTGGGCAAGCCACAATGGGGATGGGGACATCCCAATCCTTGGCTGTGCACATCTCTTGAGCTTACGTTGCTTTTGTACTGCTGATCCTTGTGCATGAATTTCCTTCTGGTGTTTCCCGTAGCAATACTGGTATGTCTTCAGTCACTGGGATGGACCTGCAAGCCCAAGCAAGGGTGGTTGGGTAAAATGAGAATCATTGGCCAATGGAGCTATTGCCTGCTGCCATTTATTAGTGCTGTGAAAGCCTGCTTCTTTCTTAATTCAGATTTACGAACAGCTTTGCTTGCAGCAACTTTGAGGGATCATTTATGGCAAATATCCACCCAAGCTGCTTTGACAGAGGAAGTTAGGCAGTTTTAATAGGCAGTGTCAGAGCTCCCACTCAGAGCTGCTGGCTGTGCCCTAAGCATGTGGTGAGAGCATTGCCCTTGTTGTGAGGGATGCAAAGAGGCAGGACAATGCCAAGGGCCACCACAAAGCCTGGGAAAAGCTGAGGTCACTGGAAAACCCTGCTGCCATGGGAGCTTTGGGATAGCAGGAGCTTTTAGGTTGCTGCTAGCCAGGATTATTGAGGACCACAAGTCCCAGGAAGACAAACTGCAGCAACGCTTCACTTTGTACCTCCAGGAGCAGCCCAAGATGCAAGCATCCCTTGCCTGTCTGTGCCTGTGCCTGCTCAGCACAGCCCTCGCCACACCCGTGAGTATGGCTTTTCCTGGGTTCCCAGCATACTGCTGGAAGCATGAGATGTGCTATCCTGTGCATCTTGGCATGCTTTCAGCAGCAGGAACACATGGGTTGTAGGTTGTAGTTGTGTACACCACCTCTAGTGCCTGGGGAAGGGAGTAAGGTGGACAGCGGAGGCGAGCCCAGAAGAAAAAAATATATATTAACACTGAGGTGGCTGAGCATGTCCCTTCAGTTTAGCAATCAGAGCATTGCACAAGTGTCTGTCTGGGTGGCTGGTACCTCTTCTCCTGGATTTCTGTGGATCTGGGATCTGCCCAGTGCTTTTGGCCTGTGAACAGCTTGAGCCAAGCCACAGGAAGGGAGGTGTGGGAAGGGTGCTCATCTTACCTGTGTGGGGAACAGTGGTCAGCGGGGTGCCCATAATATTTTCCAGCTCTTCTAATGTGAAATTTTGAGAAATTTAACTAAAACCAGGGCAAACTAAGATGACTATAATAGGAGCCATTTTTGTCCTGCATAACTGTTGCTCAGCTTACTAAATACATAGCTAGAGTGAAAGTCTGCTCCTAGAAAAGGTTTGCTTTTTTGTCAGGATAAGGAGGAGGGAAATCCCATCTTCTCTGAGAAGGCTCCTCCCATGTGTATTTTACCCCCTTCCCTTGCGTCTTTACCCCACAGAGCAAACTCTTACAACCCGGTCTGTAGCAGAGCAGCCCAGGGGAAGGCAATAAATCAGCACAGATTTGCTTTTCAGATAGGGGCAAGATGGGAGTTAATGCTATGCTGTGTGACCAGAGCTGTAATCCGGCCTTTGACACTGTTCACAATGAAACAACCTGGGAATATTCAATACTTTGGGGTGTGTTTCTGCCCCTTCAGATGGGCTTGGGATGTTTCAGTGACTAATTTTTCTGAAATCAAAGAGGACTCCCCTCCATGGGGCTGTCTCTCACTTTGGCAGGTAGGGAATGCCTGAAATGGCTTTGTGGTGCACAGCTACCAGCAGTAGGTCCCCCAACCCTGAGGGATGCACTAGCCAATACCCACCAAAAGATGCCAGGATAATCAGGGAGAGCTGGAAGCCTGCAAGCATGTACAGAAACCCAGCCATGAGGATACAGAGGTCGCTGCTCAGTAGCTCAGTAAACACTGGAAACTCCACCAGTTAACCAGCTCCGGACTCTCATCACAGGCAGATCCAAGCAGTAAGCTGGAGCATTCTTTTGTGAGCAATGGTACTATGTATTAAAAATGCTCTGTGGTAAAATCCTCTGCAGCAGTCTCCAGGAAAATATTATTTGTTATTTATCAATAATACCCTATGAAAGCTAGCATGCAATACAATCATGCTGTAGCAAAATTCACAATACTTTTCGGATCCTGGAAATGGGATTTTGACCTTTCCTACTACTGCTGTCTTTAAGTCAGCACCCCAGGTAGTGCCTGGGAATTTATTGGCTTATCAATGCACTGAAGGTGGGAAAAGGTGGATGGTCAGCAGCGGGCAATGGCAGCTGCCTGTATGCTGAGGCAATATTTGATGCCTCAGCTCTTGCCTGTGTTTTTCTGCCCACAGGTGCCACCGCCGCTGCCTAGGAGAGCTGCTGGGAACTGTGTGGGACAACACCGGGTATGTATCCTTCTGCCACCTCCTGGGGCCTCAGTGGGTAGTCATGGGACTCTACTGCAGTGCCAGACACAGAAAGGGAAACTTCTGCCAATGTAATTAATAAGAAAATGGTGGGTTTTGGTTATTTTCTTCCCCACCAGATACTTCTGAAAAGCTGCAACGCCAAGCATGGCTTCTACATTTTCAAATATGTATACTCATACTCGACGCGGAGGAACCAGACACAGATAAAGGTAAGGAGGTGGCCAGGGGACACTGCTGGACCCCTGCCCCCAGCAGCAATCCGTCACCCTGACCTCTCCCTTGTGTGTACTGCACAGAAAGAAGAGGCTGGCCACCAGAGTATCATCCCCAGCCAGCGGCTGGATGAAGATAATGCCAGACGAGAGCCACCGGCTGGGTCGGCTGGGACGGCCCCAGAGCACAGTGACAACAGCAGCACTGAAGTAGTCGAGTATGGGATTGTCTTCAAACCCAAAAACCGCAGCACCCCAGGCATCAGCAAGGATGGCCCCAGTCCTCACCCTGGCACCGGCACACGAGCGCGTGGCAGTGGTGGTGGCACAGGTCCCATCCCATCCAGCTCAGAGGGCAGCGGCGATATGGATTTCGTGGTGGAAGTTGATGGCGGTGTTCCCGTTCTCCCTCAGGGTGAACGCCCCAGTGAGGTTGTGGTGGGGAACAGGTCCAGTGTCAGGAGTGAGGATAAGGATGATGGTGCCCCCAGGGTGACTCCGGGGAGGGGAGCTGTGGTTGCTGGGAGGGGGAGGGCCCCTACTACCAGAAGGGCAGGGGATGAGGGCAGCGGGGAGGCCACTGTCTCT